TAACAAAACCCAGGGGCCCCCCCCCCCCTTCTTGCCCTTTCAAATATTATAAATCTAAAGAGAGACAGTCTGGCTGGTCGCTATCAGTCCCGGTTCTGTCATCCGTTTCAAACCCCCTGTCACCAAAGGATCCATTTCCAGCTAGTCCATAATCCAACTAGAGGAAGATGCAGAATGGGGGCCCAGCACATGACTAGATGTTCTGTGTGGTACTATAGAGCAAATAATAATATACCCCTCCCCCCAAAGTAATAGTCTGGCTAATGCCTGCAAGACTCTCCCTTATAATTTTTGATTGCTGCTTAGATTCTAAGAGAATTGGTGCAGCATTCGTTATATGTGTGTACAGGCCTAGCACAATGAGCTACACATTTCTGATTAGAGCGTAAATGCTGCTGTAATAAAATAAATGATAATTGGCCAAGGGTCCCTTCTCGCCTTACTCTATGACTGTAATTGATCAATAGGCCAGCCAAGATGAGTTTAACTGCTGTGAATGCCCATAAGGCAAGAGAAGATTGTTCATATACTGGGAGACCTGTCAGTGACTTCATAGACCAGTACAAGGAGCTAAAATTGTTTGAAATACTTGCAACCAGTGTGTGCAGTGGAGGACATCTTCCTCCTAATAAGGCAGCAACTATGTTCCATCTTGGTTTTAACCTCCAGACTAATTTGAAGAGAAACTCATTAGAGTACCATTACTGAGATGTGGCAAAGGTAGGGATGGTTGTGTGCCATGTCAAGGAGAAACAAATGTGTTTTAATAAGTTACTGATAGTAGTAGCCATTCTTGGCCATAGCCACAACATTGACTCCCGCGTGTGCAGTCAAGGGTGCATTCTGTCGCTGTATTTGTTGAACAATGGACATGTTTTTCACAATTTTCTTGTCACTTTGGTGAGGTCCTGACTGAGTTATACAGTTATCTCACCCAAGTAAAAGCCAGTTTAGCCATGACATCCTGATAACTGCGCTCTGTAGTCTATAATCTGTTGTTCAGAAAGAGGCATTGCATTGAGAAATCTCAAAATACTGCTGATGGTGTCACAGCATGTCTTGTTATGGAAAATACTCAAATGTGCCAGGAATATCTAGGAACATATGCAAAGACATGATCTCTACCCTAGAGATTACACTTTCTAATATAAGGCCTTATTGCTACTATGTAGATGGTGCAGGGAGACTGCTGTGCCTATGTAGAGACCTATTCTTTAGGGCAGGGTCTTTCTTTTTGTTCTGTATTTGTAAGCATCTAGAACAGAAGGATCCTGTTCTATGGCTCTGGCTCCTAGATGGTACTCTAATGTAAGTAATAAACAATGATAGAAGTGATGCAGCAAGTGAGGAAAACAAAAGAATAATCTGAAATGGAATGAGGAGGGACAAGGATTCCAGTAATTAATCACATGGTCATTCTGTAGTGGTATTGAGATACATATTGATAGTTTTATTAAAGTGGTAAATTCACTCACTTCTTGCAATGAACAGGGAGGTATTGGAGGGAATTGATGAACAAATGAATTTGGCCTCTATCCTGCATCTAGCTGTATGGACAAATATCTATGTAGAACTGAATTGATTTTAGAGGGGCTACAGGCAGGCATGGTGGTTCCCTTATGCAATGTCAAGTGTAGGATCAAGACCTTTATTTATTAAGTGCCTTCCTTCACTGAGGCACTTAGCCTTGCTGCACAGGCAATTACAATTCAGTAGTGTTGGATACAATAAAAACATCCAAAATAATATGTATATGTTTAAAAAAACCAAGACATTCTAAGGGCAAAGTGGTGATATGTTCTGACAAGTACTTCTGAAAATGTTTCCATGTATATCTCCCAATAATCTCTGTATAAAATTTAATCAGTGGACAATGGTGGGGTTTTTTGTATTGCTATTACTGCAAATTTAGCCTGTGTACCTGCAAATCAAGATGTCTTTCTGCCTCTTGCCTCATCGCCAATAATAAAGGTTTGGTAAGCAAAAAATAGGCCCCAGCAGACACTCCCAAGCACAGAGTCCACTTCTATGAACCTTCTCTTACTTAACTGGGGCTTTGTGCAGGCATGAGGGTCTGAGCTACATATTTCTAACTGCAGGATCAGAGCCATAGTTAGCAGTTCTGCTAATAAAGCATATGACAGTAGAATCCAGCTCACTGCTATAATTGTATTGACTCTTCAGTCCTAAAAAAAACTTAGTTCAGGGTTCAGTTCTGCCATTGGGCACGCATGAATGGAATGCCTATTCTGACAATCTGTCTGAAATTG